AATGCCCCTTGAATGCTTTAATTAAACCAACCTTTACCACATTTCTAGGCAGTGCATTTCCGTACACGTGCTGTGTGAAAAGGTTTTAAACATTAACCTTGTTTAATTTACGCATCACTTCAAATGTTGAGCACAAATTTCCAGATGCTGTTGTTGGCAGAGGTGAGGCCTATCAAAAGATAGTTCTGGTAGTTTTTGCTGTTGTGGATAGTGATAGTCATTTTCCTACTATCATCTTTTGTTCTCCCACTCGGACAGAAGGTGGTTGTTATTTTCCCACTGTCCAAAGTTTATTTTTCCTATCTCAGCTGTATTAGTTTTAAATAAATTCTAAACAAACTAGAAACTGTGTAATTATTAATCCATTCCTTCACAATCTGTAATAGAAACAAAATCTCTAAATAACAAGTCATTAATTTGCTAATTTTTTTTGAGTACTTTTAATTCCATGTTGGAGGCTGTTTCCTGTGCGTTGGGTGTCTTGCGAATTGATCAATGGCCAATGGTAACTTATTTATCTTTATCGTAAATTTGGGCTTGTATTTATATAGCACTTTCAATTAAGAAAATAATTCCAAGGTCCTTCATGGGGAATAAGACAAAATGGGCATTGAACTTGTTATGATCCCTGCCAAATTTGTTTTGGCTGAGGACCAGTAAATTCTTTTTGTTTAAAGCAAGTAAAGTTTGACATTCCAGATACTGACTAGAATAAAGCCTCAAGATTTTCATGATCTTGATTAAATAAAAGTAAATATTACTATATAAAATTAGAATAGTAAAACTATCTAAAATATAGATATAGGTGGCATGGTGGTTCAGTGGTTAGCACTGCTGTTTCATAGAGCTGGGGACTTGGGTTCATTTCCAGCCTTGAGTGTCTGTCTGTGTGGAGTTTTCGCATTCTCCGTGTTTGCGTGGGTTTCCTTCGGGTGCTGCAGTTTCCTCCCACAATCTAAAGATCTGGGTTAGGTGGATTGGCCATGCTAAATTGCCCCGTAGTTTTCCAGGGATATGTAGACTAGGTGGATAGCCATGGTAAATGCGGTGTTAAGGGGATAAGTAGGGGGACAAAAACAGAGGGTGCTGGAAAAGCTCAGTAGGTCTGGCAGCATCTGTGAAGGAAAAAATCCAGAGTTAACGTTTGTAGCCTGGTGACCTGAGTTCTGAGGAAGGGTCACCGGACCCGAAACGTTAACTCTGGATTCTTTTCTTCACTGATGCTGCCAGAACTGATGACCTTTTCCAGCAACCTCTGTTTTTGTTCCTGATTTACAGCAGCCACAGTTCTTTTCGGTTTTTATTTTGGATAAGTAGGGAGGGCTGAGTCTATGTGGAATGCTGTTTGCAGGTCTGGTGCAGACTTGATGGGCCAAAAGGCCTCTTTCCACACTAGGGATTTTATGATGTATACAACTTAGAACTGAACATTCATAATTTCCATGGGTTTACAAATTGTGGTTGCAAATCCCATAGAGCACATTAAGTAACAAATGAACTTAAGACAGATCCCATGGATCTCATGGCAATCACCCAGATTGAAACTGAGTCACCAAATCTCATTACAACCTTGTTTACCCTTCTGTGGGATTCAAAGTTTTTAGTCTTGAAGATGAAATTTTCAAACTCCCTCCAAAGCCACTCACTCCATCAAAGACTGCCTCAGCAACTGTTCATGCCCAGGTAGTCCAGTCACTTCCCTTGAGCCTATACTCCACTGAATTCCCAAGACTGCATTCAAGTATCTACTGTTGGGCATAATTCCAGCTTTTTTTGCACAGCTGTATTCAGCTGGCACCACCACAGAGTTTCTCTGTGCTCCAAGTGTTTCCTAGCTGTACTGAACAAATATTGTTTATGGGCTTTCTTTACCCCAACTTTTAGCTGTATTGAACTGTTAATACCTGCTAGAGACTTCTCATTCCTAACTTTCTGGAGTCTGCCCTTAGTATACCTACACTCCAGTGACTGCAGCAGTTCAAGAGGGCAGTTCACTACCATCTTCTTGAGAATAATTAAGGATGGGCAATAAATGCTGGACTAGCCAACAAAGACCCGGATCCCACGAACAAACATAATTTAACAGAACTGACTTAGCTTCAAGCTGCAACAATCTTCTCAGTTCCTCACAGTAGTGTCCTAGAACCAACTATCTTCAGCTGCTTCATCAATAACCTTCTCTCTATCTTAAAATCAGAGGTGGAGATGTTCTCTGATGATTACACAAGGTTCAGCCCCACCTACTACCCCTTGGATATTGAAGCACTCCATGTCTGCCTGCAACAAGGCTTCGACTGATACATGGCAAGTAACGTTAGTGTCAAGTTGGTGCTAGGTGATGACCATCTCCAACAAGAGACTCCAACCGTCTTCCCATTACATTCAGTGGCATCATCGTAGCTGAATTGTGACTATCACCATCTTCGGGGTTACCATTCACCAGAAACTGAACTAAACCAGCCACACACATGCAGTAGCAACAAGAGAAGGTAACAGAGGGTAGGAATTCTAATGTGAGTAATTCACCATCCAAAAACCTATCTGCCAACAAGACATGAGTCAGGAGTATGATGGATGAGTGCAGCTCCCACAATACTCAAGAAGCTCAACACCATCCAGGACAAGGCAGCTAACTTGAATGACACTCAGTTAGTACCATCGACATTCACTGCCTCCACAACTGATGTGCAGTGGCAGCAGTGTCCCCAGTCTACAAGCTGTGTGCAAAAAAAAGCTCACCAAGGCTCTTTAGAAAGCAAATCTTCCAAACCTATGACCTAGAAGGACAAAGGCAGCAGCTTTATGGGAGGAACATCACCCCTTCCACTCCAAGTCACACTATCCAAACTTGGAACTACATTGCTGTTCCTTCACTGTCATACGGACAGAATTCCAGGAATTTTTCCCAAACAGGATTGTGGAGGTATCTATAGCATGTGGACTGCAGAAATTCAAGAAGACAGGTCATCACTTTCTTGAGGGCAATTAGAGATGAAGAAGAAAAAGTCAACTTGAAATTGGAGAACCCTCCTGAACTCCTCCTATATCTGTGACAATGTAGCTTGTCCTGCTTGACTCAAACTGACCTTTAGGGATTACTGAATGATTTTAAGCTAATTAAGCTCTAACTCCCTCTGGACTGCCATTATTGCGAGCTTTGCAATCACTATGGCTTACTTAGCTAATGACATCTGTTCTTATAGCTACGTCTGTTCTATTTTGCTTTCATTACCCAAACATGGGTATCCTTCTGAACTGTTCTGGTGATCACTAAAGCCCACAGAGTTTTAATTACCCCATCTTCCTGACTGTTAACATCTTAAAGCAACATGACTCTACCTTTTTAAGTGCACTAGATTTTAAGGTGCTTCAGTTGTGTTTATCACAATTTCTGCAGTTTAACTTTAATTCCTAAAAGTAAAAGTTATATTCTAACTAGAATACAAGGATTATGAACTATTTGCTAAAAATTAAAGCCAAGATCAAGGCGGAGATTAAAATCTAAAAGGGGTTGGTCTTAAATTGGAAGAGGGAGGCAGTGATAAACTTGGTATGTGCAAATTGGTTGCTGAATCTTACATTACAACAGTGACTATGCTTCAAAGAGTGCTTTGGACCATCCTATGGTCATTTTACTGCAGCAGTACAAATTTGCACTTTCTGAAGAAAGTCCAAACAATAAAGCACAAAAAATATGGTGTTCTCAGAGGCTGGGTTTGCCTGACCAGTTTCACATTCTATGTAGATTGATCAGCTGGATTGAGTGCACCAGTTTCTCAATGAACAACCTTCTTGCAGCAAAGGATTGGGTGTGGGAGTCCTGAGCAGTTACAGGTCCTATTCTGTTCCCGTCCTGTGACCAAATCACTAAATATCCTGGTTATGTCACTGTATTATTGAGCCAAATATGGATATGTTGGCCTTGTCAGTGATGTCTCGTTATGAGAATCATTAAAAATGTGTGCTATGGGACGAGGAAAAGGGCAGAATCTGCAAAGGACAGTAGAAGGTGACAATTTTTATAGGCATATTTCACGATTGTTTGAGTTGGAGAAGGGCGCTGATCTTTCTGGCCAGCAAGTCTGTCTGTTTGTCCTCTCTCCAAAAGTCTGTGAAGCAGGATGAAATTTTATGTGATGTTATCACAGTAAACTTTACAAGTACAGTTGGAAAAATGGCAACTGCTTTTTGACCTGGGATCAGTCAATATGGACTGAGCTTGCCTGTTATTGTTGGTCTGTTATTGAGGACAACAGGAAGCAGAGTGCAACAGCTGTATGGCAGGCAGTTGGGCAACATCTACAGTCTGGGATCTGGGAGTGATGCAGGGTTGTGGGAACCTGAGGTGAAATTGGGCTGTGGGACCCAGATTTGGGGATGGAATATGAGATCCTAGTGCAGGCAGGATCATGGGGCAGGGTTGTGATCCAGGATCCAGGATCCTGGCACTGAGCTGAAATCTGGGATTTACGCTGGCGTCTAGGATCAAATGTTGGAGCGAATGTTATTTACTAAATAAAAACCAAAAAAAACCTGCAGATACTGTAATTCGGGAATAAAAACAGAAGTTGCTGGAAAAGCTCAGCCGGTCTGGCAGCATCTGTGAAGAAAAAAATCAGTGTTAATGTTTTGGGTCCGATGACCGGAGGAAGAGTCACCGTACCCAAAACATTAACTCTGATTTTTTTCTTCACAGATGCTGCAAGACCTGCTGAGCTTTTCCAGCAACTTCTGTTTTTTGTTGTTAGTGTTATTTCCTGTTGGACTATAATCTGGTGTCATGTGATTTCTGACCTTGTCCACCCCAGTCCAACACCGCATCTCCACATCGTGGCTTATATTAACACAATAGGAATTTCCTGTCCCTCACAGCTACAAGCTGACTAGCCATACTCATAAATTTCCTGCAATTACCCAGGTTCTGTTTTTGTTGTCAGTGTTATTTCCCCAGCTGTTTTTTTTCTGTTGAGTACGGAAGTAATATTTTCTCTCTCTTACAGTGCGTTCAAGGCCATGAAAACATCAAGGATTCCCGGTTGATTTGGCTCAACATATCAGACACTCTTCTGTCAACTGGGTTTAGCCAGGTGACTATCACTTTTGTATTGGGCTTAGTACACAGACCATAAGATATAAGAGCAGAATTAGGCATTCACCCCATCGAATCTGCTCCGCCATTTGATTGTGGCTGGTGTGTTTCACAACTCCATTCTCCTGCCTTGTCCCCATAACCTTTGATTCCCTTACTAACCAAGAACCTGTCTATTTCAGTCTTAAATATGCTCCATGATTTGGTGTCCATAGCTGTCTGCGGCAATTAGTTACACAGATTCACTACCCTCTGAACTGAAGTAATTCCTCCTCATGTCAGTGTAAAAGGTCGTCCCTTCACCCTGAGTCTCCCACACATAGAAAGAACTTGTACACTTCTACTGTATCCAGGCCTCTTTGTATTCTGTAAGCATCAATCAGATACCCACCTCATCCTTCTAAACTCGGAGTACAGATCCAGAGACTTCAATTGCTAATTGTATGGCAAGCCCTTCGTTCCCAGTATCAATTTTGTAAGCTCCTTTGGACACCCTCCAAAGCCAGCGCACATTTCCTTGGATACGGGGCCCAAAACTGCTCATAATATTCCAAATGCAGGCTGATCAGACCCTCAATACAGTATGGAGCTCGAAGAACACAACAGGTCAGACAGCATCAGAGAAGCAGAAAAGTTGACATTTCTGGTTTACACCCTGTTTTGCTGTATTCCTCCAGCTCCATACTGTATTGACTGTGACTCCAGCATCTGTAGTTCTTGCTACCCTCATGATCAGACCCTCATTCAGCCTCAGCAGTAAATCTTTGTTCTTGTTTTCTAGCCCACTTGAAATGAATGCAAAAATTGCATTTACATTCCTAACCACCACTTGAACCTGTATGTTAACCTTAAGAGAATCCTGAACTAGGACTCCCAAGTCCCTTTGCATTTCAGATTTCCAAAGCCTTTCCCTCTTTAGAAAACAGTCTATGCCTCTGTTCTTCCTATCAAAATGTATAACCTCATACTTTGCCACATTGTATTCTATCTACCACACGTTAGACTATTTAATAAGAGCCCATGGTGTTGGAAGTAGTATAATAGCATGGATTGAGGATTTATGAACTAATAGAAGGTAAAGAGTTGGGATTAGGGGACGTTTTTAGGATGACAACCTGGTGGAGTGCCACAGGGATCAGTGGTGGTGCTACAATTATTTGCAATGCATATTAATGAGGAAAGAGGATGACTAAAGTGAATATACTATAAGCAAGTTTGCACATAGCACAAAAATAGGTGGGAAAGTAAGTGCTGAGGATGACACACACAGTCTGCAGAGAGATATATAGGTTAAGTGATTGGACAAAAATCTTGGCATTTGGAATATAATGTGGGAAAATGTGAGGTTATGCACTTTGGGAGGAGAAAAGAGGAACTGAATATTATATAAATGGAGAAAAACTGCAGAAGATCACAGAACAGATGGATTTGGAAGTCTTCGTCTACGAATCACAAAAATCCAGTATCCAAGTTCAGCAGGTAATAGGGAAGGCAAATGGAATGTTGGTGTTTATTTCAAAGGGAATGGAGTGTAAAAGTAGGGAACTTTTTGCTAAAACTGTACAAGGCATTGGTCAGACTACACCTGCAATACTGTGAACAGGTTTGGACCCTTTATCTAAGGAAAGATGTAGGTCATTGGAGGCAGTCCAAAGAAGGTCCACTCAACTGATACCAGGTATGGAAGGTATCTCTTATGAGATACCCTCTTATGAGAAGAGATTGAGTAGATTGGGCCTGTGCTCATTCAAATATAGAAGAATGAGAGGCAATCTTATTGAAATGTACAAAGTTCTTGGAGGGCTTGACAGAGTAAATGTCGGAAGGTTGTTTCCCTTGTGGGAGAGTCTGGGACCAAAGGGCTTAATCTCAGAATAAGGGGTCGCACTTTTAAGAAAGGAGATGAGGAAGAATTTCTTCTTGGAGTTAGTGAATTTGTGAAATTCGTTACTGCAGAGGGCTGTTGAGGCTGGGTCATTAAAGAATATTCAAGGGTGGGATTGACAGATTTTTAACCAATAAGGGAATCATTAGTTACGGGGAAAAGTCAGGAAGGTTGAGTTGAAGATTACCAGGTCAGCCATGAGCTCATTGAATGGTGAGGCAGATTTGATGGGCTGAATAGCCTACTTCTGCTCCTGTGTCTTAAGGTCTTATGATTTTGACTTGATTTTAATTCAGTGGGCTGGTGGTGCACCTTTCTTAATTGTTCTTAAAAATGGCTATGAACATTGCTGTACATCAACACTGCGCACACATCTTTTGGCCTTACAGATGAAGTCTGCAATACTATCGCTCATCTACCTGATGAGACGTGTGTACTTCTCTGTATGCTACTTTCTACTTCTCAGTTGCTGTGTGCAGGCACTACTTTCCCCACTTCCAAGCAAGCAGCTTCTATGAACGGTCGCTTTGTGCTGGCAAAATGGAATTGATGAGGGGTTTCTGAGCTATCCATTCCATGGATAATAGGATCCTGGATCCGCTCTGACACTAACTTCCCCTCTCTCCAGAAATCTGGAAGAATCTTGGACAGTACCTAGACAGTGTTCCTCTTCATGCCCCTCTTTGTTCAGACAGTACTGTACTGAGAACCTCTTCCTCATTTTCCCTTTCAGATGCGTGAGCGACAGGCCAGACTGTGGGACACGCGCAAGTTTACTAGTCCTGTCAGCACCTTAAATCTTGATACAGCGCAAGGGTAAGTATATGAACATGTATAACATTTGGCATCGAACACAGGTCAATGTCTGATGTTGTCACCTGCTATATGATTCATCAGGACACACTGTGGAGTTATTAACATGGATGCAAAATAAGTCTTGCATAGCTCAGAGTTTCTAAACTCTGTTCCTGGGCTGTGCTGAACTGGAAGGGATTGGGATTCTTTCTGAATTGTGCTGAGCTGGCAAGATCCAGGCTCTGCCCCTGAGTTGGGAGATTCCAGCCAAGCTAACATTTGAGGACTTATAATTGACCTCGGTGATACTGGTTTCAAAATAGGACCATTTCACACCACTGTTCCTACCCTCTCCCATTAGTGAATGCATGTGTATGGATGTGTGGGCCTAGGAATTTCTATGATTCTTACTGAAGCTCTGCCTTATACTGGAAATCAAAAAATGGTCAGTTAGGAAGCTGCAACAGTGTCCAAATGTGCAGCATGGGGAAGGCAGTGGTTTAAAAAAGGGATTTGAGGAGAAAGTTTCTCGCTCAGAGGGTGACTGGGATCCGAAGTTCACAGCCAAAGAGTGGTGGAGCCGGAAACACTCATCACATTTAAAAATTGCTTGGATAGACACTTGAGGGATTGTAGTCTACGGACAAAGAGCTGGAAGGTGATGAGTTTTGAATCCGTGTCCCCAGAGCGTTAGCCTGGACCTCTGCCTGTCTTAATCCAGTGATGTGAATTACTACAGCACTGTCTCTTTCATAAATCCTTCCATGTTGCTAAATCTACCTGTGTTAAATATAAACACAGAACAAACATTTCTAGCCCACACATGAGCAAGAAAAAGCTGTTCACTCAGTGCCTTTGACCCTGACCCTCCATTCAGTGAGACTATGGCTGACCTGCATCTTGATTCTGTCACATGCCTCTGTTCTGCAGACCTTCATACACTTTGCGAAGCAAAAAAAACTCTGTTTGGACACTTTCAATTGACAGCCAGCCTCTCACTCCTTTTAGGAGAGGATTCCTAATTTTTGACTCCCAGTTTACATGAAGTGCTTAATCACTGTGGACTTTTGTATTATAGATTTCATTCTGTTGAGTACCTCGTACATTAACCTTTGGCAAGTAAAGAGTTAATTGAAATAAAACAGAACTGCAGATGCTAGAAATCTGAAACAAAAATCAAAATTGCTGGAGAAACTCAACCGGTCTAGCAGCACGTGGAGAGACAAAAACAATAAATGTTTCAGGTCGAGTGGCCCTTCTTCAGAACTGAAATAATTTCAGTTTTTGTTAGAGTTAACTGAGTTGTGTTCCACTGGGAAATTACTGCAAGCATTGATAAGATTAGGTGTAAATGAGAATGTCAAACGATAACAAACAGCTTAGGCCTTAAGCCACTGAGTTTAGAAGAATGAGAGAAGATTTAGTGGAGGTATATAAGATGCTAAAGGGGATTGACAATAAAGAGGTATAGCAGATGTTTCCCCATAGCGGACAATCTAGAACAAGAGGTCATAGTTTTAGGATAAGGAGTGGCAGATTTAAAACAGATGAGGAAGAGTTATTTCTCAAAAGGTCGTAAATCTGTGGAATTCACTGCCCGAGTGCAGTGGATACTGAGTAAATTTGAACAGATTGACTTTTAGTTAGAGTCATACACCTTAGAATCAGGCCCTTTGGCCCGCCATGTCTATGCCTGACAACAAATGCCATAAACTACACTAATTAGTAATTGATTAAAAGATTATGGAGAGCAAGCAGGTTATATGGAAAGGGCAGGAAATTAGACATGAGGAATGTTGGCTCAGTCATGATCTTATTGGATGGTAGAGCAGGGTTGAATTGCCTACTCCTGCTCCTAGTTTTTATGTTATTATGTTCTTGCGGTTTAGGTTTACTTGGGTAATGACCCAGAATTCACTGCAATGGTGAGATGGGATCAAACCTAGATATGCATTAAAACCTCATTCTGCTTGGGAACTGATTAGAATCAGAAATGGATGACCCCAAAAACTGGGCTATAGATTTGCCAGTGGGCTTTTTTTTTAAACGAGGTCACAATGGGCTAGTGGTATTAATGCAGGACTATTAATCCAGAGACCCAACTAATGTCCGGGGGATCATGGCAGATGGTGGAATTTGAATTCAATAAAGTATTTGGAGTTAAGAGTCTAATGATTATCTTGAAACCATTGTTGATTGTCAGAAAGATACCATTTGGTTCACTAGTGTCCTTTAGGAAATTTTCATCCTTACCTGGTCAGGCCTACACGTGACCCCAGACCCACAGCAATGTTGTTGACTCTTGACTGCCCTCTGGGTAACTAGGATGGGCATTAAATGTTGGCCTAGTCAGTAATGCCCTCATTCCATGATTGAATTAAAAAAACATGAAAGTGACCTCTGCATTTTTGTAGAGAAAATCCCAGTAACATAAGTCTTGAAAGGCTTCTTGAAATAAAACAACTGTGAATGCTGGAATCCAAAACACACATTGCTGGAGAAACATAGCAGGTCCAGCAACATCTGTGGAGAGAAGATAGCTGCTCCTGGTTTAAACTACAGGAGCACCCCTGATCTCGGCTTCCCTTCAAACCGAGAACAATTATAAATTTTTTCTGTAATAAAACATTAAGCTGGTATCAGTTTGATGGGCTGATTGGCTCTGGTCTCTAGTGTTGTATGATTCTCCTGACTTGTTGATTTCTGAAGTACTGTATTTTCAAGCCGTTGTTTGTTTTGTAAATTTATTTCAACAATAAAAAAGAAAGATAAATATTGAATTATCTAAGCTGATAATATCACACAAAGTGAACTGTTTATGCCACGATAATGAATATTTTGAATGAAAACATTGACTCTCTTTGGCTTCAAACATGTGTTAACAATTGTAAGGGAGATAGCAGCAGTTCAGACACAAATGCATTCTCCCTTTTCCTGCTACCCCTTGTTGGTGCTCTTTACGCCCATTTTCCTTAAAATTTGCCTTTGCCCTTCCCTCACTTCCTCTTTCCCCTTTTACTTACTACACGCCTCACGATATGACCTCTCCTCCCATCCTGTCCCTGCCCTTTCATCCCAATTCATCACACCACTGCTCTCTCAGCCCTTCTCTTCCCTCCCCTCCGCTCCTGCGTGTGCGTGCACGTGCTGTCTCTCTTCTTCCCCACCCGGTCCCCCCCTCTAGTTTTGTATTGGGGAAAATGATTCGGCTATTCATCCTATCCATACCCCTGATGATTTTATAAGGTCTCGCCTCAACCTCTGATGCTCCAGCTCCAGATTTCTATGGTGTTCAAGTATTAACTATGACAACAAGCCTCTGATCAGTACGCAGGTGAATGAGTGAACAGGTCTCAGGGTTCATACTTGGTGCACCTTTAACCTCGAGGTCAAATACAAATGCCAATTCCACAGTTTGGTCACACTTCATATATTTATGTTCTTCTTTTGCTTAATAAAAATAAATTATCTGAGTTTAAACAGAATCATTAGGACACAGTGTTTTCTTTACAAAATGAACAGGAGAAGCGTTTGGCTCATTTTAGATATTTCCAGTAAAATACAGAGTGTACACGAGCAAATCATTTGCACACTCCAAACTGAAATTCCTATTGCTTAAGTTGGTACTTGATAGAATCATAAAATCTCTACAGCACAGAAAGAGGTAATTTGGCCAATTGAGTCTACATCGACCATCCAGAGAGCATCCCACCCAGACCCAGCCCCATACCCTATGCCCATAACCCTACATGCCCCATAGCTAATCCACCTGGACACATCCCTGGACACCACAGACAATTTAGCGGGGCCAATCCACCTAACCTGCGTATTTTTGGACTATGGGAGGAAACCCACACAGACAAGAATGTGCAAATTCCACACAGTCAGCCAAGGCTGGAATCAAACTTGGTTTGCTGGCAGTGAGAGACAGTAGTGATAACCACTGAGTCACCTATTTTCAGTCTCTGTGATTCAAAGGGTTCTGAACAGATGAGGTGTAAACCATTTTTTGAAGAAGGGTCTAGGCCCGAAACATCAGTTTTCCTGCTCCTCTGATGCTGCTTGGCCTGCTGTGTTCATCCAGCTCTACACCTTGTTATCTCAGATGTAAACCATGGGTTAGTTTGATTTCTGGGTGAGTATAAAAAAAAGTACACAATGGCCACTAAATTAAGGCGTGCAGAGATTGGTGTCCTGGTCGACATTACTGCTTCAGCGGGATCTCAAAAAAACATCTGTACATGTTTTTCATAATTTGCTAGGTACAAGATGACTGGGTGCATCTAAAATGCTTTATCATGTTTATCACGTTTTTGGTGAATACTGATGTTTCCTTTTGATTTTGGTTACCAAGGTGTTATTGTCACTAATTCTGAGTATAACCTGACTCACCAGAGCTGGTTTCTAATTGCTGAGTGCTGCCATTGCAAAAGCATCACTAATCTGGCTAGCACGTACTAACATTGAAAGATAACTCCTAACTGTGTTATGCATCAGCTGAAGAAACTGTATTCAATAGGATTACAATTTTGTTTCAATAGCTTTGTGTCTCATCTTTTCCATAAGAGTTTTCTCTTCAACACACCACAGCCAACAATTATTGCTTGGGAATGATTAAATGTGGAAACATTCCTGATTTTCAGATCTGCCCTAACTATTTTTCAAAATCCCAAACCAAATACTTGAAACAACACAATTGCAGGTCTATTAGGTTTAATTATTAGCAATTTGCAAAGTCCTGTGACAGATTGGGAAATAGAAATCAGGTGTGCAGTCTGTGGCTAAATCAAGACCAGTTGTAACATACAATGACCTCTATGTAAGCAACAGAATGCTTCATTTCAATACCAACAGTCAGTAGCAGGTTCATTTCAAGATAAAGTAAAAATGGTGCAGGGCACCAAGTGACTGTGTCGTGGACCCAAGCTCTGACTTCTCTTCTGTAACGTCTCTACCACACTAAGCTGCCTCCTTTTAAGATGCTCCTTAATTCAACCTCATAAATCTTTTGGACACCTCACCTGTAACCTATGGCTTGATGTGAAATTATATTTGAAAAATCTCTGAAAAACATTGGGATGTTTTACTTCATTAATGTAAACGTAAGTGTTGTTTGCTTCTGGTCACCTATGCTCATAGAAATCTGCGCTATCAAATATAAAATATCCTGAGATGATTGTAATATTGTCTGACTGCTGTAGGCTATGGGTCTGTGCTTTGTCAGCTGAGCAAGCTGGTTAAATAATCTAATTACTAAACTCCTAAAGCAGGACGCTACTAATCCTATTATTAGCTTTCTTGTTTTTGCCCTAATTCTATCGAAGTATCCTTCTTGCAGAGTGCAGGTGTTGTTCTATTAAAGAATTGGCCCAGTTGGGCCTCAGGCCTAATCTCCATGGCAATGTGCAAGAACAAAACCAATTGCATTTCCCCAGCACCTGTCTTTCTGCTGGAGTAGAAAATGTCACAGGTCGAACCACTAGAGTATGAGAAATTTTTTGAACCGGAAACTGCAGGCTCAGAACTTTCTTTCTGCACCAGGTAGTGTTTGAGATTTACTAGGTGCTAACAAATCCAGACACTGGTCTGATTATTAAGCCAGTGATGTACTGACTTTGTCTAGAAAATTTTCACCAAAAATATCTTAATGTGAAACTCTCACATCTTGCAGTAGGGCAGTAAATCTTCATTGGGGGTTGGGTTGTTTTATTGTTCATTTCATGTTTGTGGGCATCGTTTGCTATGCCAGCACTTATTGACTATCTGTAATTCCCCTCGAGAGGATGGTTTGCTGAATTATTGAACTGCTGCAGTCCTTAGGGTGTTGAAACAGCACTGTGGGTGTGGGGGTGTTGATACACCCACAGTGTTGGTGGGGTGGGAGTTCCAGGATTTTGACCCAATAACAGTGAAGGAGTACAGATATAATTCAAAAAGGACTTGAATTTTTTTTTTAGAAAAAGCAAGCTTGTGGTGTTCATCCTGACAGAATGGTAGAACCTTGTTGAAGGCCATTGATCCCATAATTTAAGCTCACACTCCAGTGGAGAACTGGGGGAGTGCTGCACTGTCGGAAGTACTAGCCTCACATGAAATGTTATATCTGAGACTTTGATAGGAAAAAAAACATGAATGCTACTTGGTGAGCTTACCAATATCTATATCTCAGATATCATCACCAAAACACGTTATCAGGTTATTATCACATTCTGTTTGTGGGCGTTTGCTGTCCAAAAGTTGGCTGCCACATTTCCAACATTACAACAGTGACTATATGGAAAAGAAAGTACTTTATAAACTGAACCGTTTTGGGACCTGAGGTCAAGAAGGAACCTATAGAAATTCTTTCACACGCTCCTAGGTTTTTCTCTCTCTCCTTAAGTCCTGCTGTCAAATGTATTTTAGTTTAATTCACTCCACTTTTGTCCCACCCCTGCTCTTGACTGTTTGTTTGTTTTTCACCTTGAAGTGCCTCAGGATGTCATATTATCAGTGCAGTAGCACTCTAGCCTTAGAATGAGCTTAATCCATACTTTGAGACTTATTTTGGAATGCATGTACATTTTCAGGTTTGGCTCCTTTCAATTTGTAAATGAGTGTTGGTCTTTGATGAGATTCATGCCCCCTCTGCCTCCCTCAATTACCCCTCAAGCCCTCTTTCTTCCCATTTGAGGCGTGTTTTTTTTTTTTTTTGGAGATGTCTGGAGGATTGGAATTTTAATCCAACTCCGCACATTGACGGAAGTGGAATGGGTATCTCTGTAGTTGCTGTGATATTTCAGACCGTCTTGCACCCTGGCCCAGTCTTGTTTATGTTTCAGGTTTTATGTACTCTGCTAAACTCGCATCTGACTCTTTACCGCCTGTGTCCTATACCTGGTCTTATGACCCTTTGTATCACTGTTCATTGCTGGTGCACTCTTCAGTCTGGTGTCTCCAAGTGCCACTTTTCCTGTGGTGACACCTGGCTGTGTAACAAAGCAAACCAGAGCTTCCATGTCACTTCGCTAGAAAAATATTTATTTGCTTACAAATTGTCATTTACATCATGTGCTTGACTCAGTTAGATTTGGCTCAGCAATATACAGCAGTTAATGGTGGGCCATGTGGTGGTGAGTGCATGTGAGACAATCACTGGTCTGTTCCCTTGCGCTGTTGGGGAATGGCGATGGTTATTGTGAGGTGTGACTGACATTGGACCATTATTCATGAACTCCATGTACTGAAGCCACTCACAGTTTGGCCATGCAAGTCATATATTGATGCGCGTGGATAGCTGTCTGAATAGCGAAGGTGGCACTAGTGATATTTACAGCGATGCTTTGCTTTGGAAGGTTTTATCTCTTCCTTTGGTTGTGGTTTCACAGGGGTTGTATGGGACCACTGGATTTGATGAGTTCAGCCAGACTGAAGTTTACAGAATGGAGTAAAGAAATCTTGAACAAGATTGATTAGGCTTCATATATACTGGGTTGCTTGAGAGAGATCGAAATGGGATAGCCTCAGTAATACCAAGTGCAATTCCACTCTTGGCTTTAAAAAAAAAGGGTTTGTTGATTTGAAGCAGTGAAGTTCTGTGGCTGTAATCAGGCTTTGGAAATCCATGTTAATCCCTGGGAATGAAAGGTCACAAAGCTATAGGAATGTCACAAAGCTATAGGAATGTTACCTTGGTGATCTCTGATTAATGGCACTTCGCTTTGCAGAGCAAGGCATTCAGGAGTGTCAGACAAGATCTTTCCCTCCTCTAGGTAAGGTTTGATCTCTTCTACATCATAAGGATGTGATTCTCCTACTTGAGCAGAGTTTTTCTTAAGTCTTTTCCGGCAGTAGAGTGTGATCACAACTGCCAGCAGTAAGATCAGGATCATGCCTGTGGTTACTAGCCAGATTACTCTGGTTAAGTTGCTACCCTCTGCCTGTTTGAACTGAGCTAACTGTGTTATTGGCAGTGTCTGCACGAATGTGCAAGGCTGTTCTTTAGTGCTGGCCTCCCCCAGAGCTCCAACACAGATCTGATATGTTGAGTTGGGCCACAGTCTTGGAATCTTGTATGTTGACAGTGATATTGGGATGTTAAGTGACACTGGCCTGGGGTCCAGGCCTGACCAGTTCTTATATGTCACCCGCAGCCCCTTATAGTAAACTGGGGAGAGCCTAAAACCTTCTAGATTTAACGTTACTGAAGTGCTGGTTATTTGACTAATGTTTAAAAGGCTTTTCTGAGAAGTCTGGAGATCAAGAATACCATTCGCTGCCTCACAGAGTGGTCCGTAGAAGCCAGCAAGGCACGTGCAACTGTGGTGCCCATACTTATCTAGCTGGCAAATGCCTCCATTGAGGCATTCTGTAGAGAGGCAGAGATGTCCCTTTGCGCTGAGTTGTTGATCTGTTTTGGTGATGGCTCCAAGAGTAACTCTGCCATTGAAGGACATTGATTGTCCTGGAAGGTGTGTTGCTTTGTGACCCAGTGTTAGTTCCTTGGCTGTGGTTGGTGACAATTCTGTGGTGCTTGTTGCGCTGATGGACGGGATGGTAGTAGGACATCCAAAGTCACCATGTGTCAGTGTGTTGAGTGGTTTACCAGAGTTGACCAGAGGGAAATGGCAACGTGTTTCCTCCTGCCTCTGGAGGAGGGCATTGTTCTCCTGCATCCATTGAACAAACCAGCTGATCTGGCAGACACAGTTATAGGGGTTTTCAGCTGCTGTGAGGCTTTTTAAGTTGGAGAAAAGTTCCAAAAAACCCTCCGGAATGGTCCTAAGGCTCAAACCACTGATGTCCAGTTTCTGAAGGTTCCTAATATGCTTGAAATCCTCATCCTTCAAGTGTGAGATCTTGTTGTTTCCCCGAACACTCAGAAAGGTCAGTTCACTGAGATGCTGGAGTATAGCTGACACAGTCACCAGCTGATTTTCTGATAGATCTAGCTCCTGAAGATTCTTCATGTTTTTAAATATGCCTTCATCTATCGTACTGAGGCCAAGTCCAGCCAGCTTTAAAGATTCAATCTCAGGTGCATGGATGCTTCTGAGCTCTGTGTCTGGGATGTTATTTCTGCTGAGGTCCAATAGGAGGAGTGTGGGAAGTTGCAGAGGAGGAAGGTGATGGAGAAGATTATCCTGCAATTTGAGCTCGACCAGCTTTGTTAATGTGTCAAAAGCTGCTGCGTGGATTGTCTTGATCTTGTTTTGTTGCAGGTACAATCGTTCCAATTCCTGCAGCCCCATAAAGGTATTGTTATTGATTTCAGTTATCTGATTGGATGACAGGTCCAGGTTGGACAGGACACTTAGTGACTGGAAGACCTCCTGGGGCAGCCTGGTAATTTTATTGTGCGACAGGTGCAGGAGCTTTAGTTTCTGAAGCCCTGCAAAATCTTCCTTGTGCAAGGTGGAAATGGAGTTCTCAAACGCATAGATGCTGGAGGTGTCAGGAGGGATATGCTCAGGAATGGCAGACAGTCCTCTTTTGATGCACCACAGCATTCCCGAGGTGTCACAGTTGCACTCTGTTGGGCAGCAGAGCGCCAACAGCAGTTTTGACAGGAGTACCAGTATGGTCAGCCAAGGCAGACAGTGCAAAGAGGTCCTCCTCATGGCGCATTGAGCTCTGTGGGGGCAAGAGGAATGAGTCACTATGAGCCTTTTTAAAGAGTTTATGGCAGCAACCCTGAGTGCAGCCAGTTATAGACGAAGCTGAGTGAAATCTAAGATAATACAGGAGGGAAGTACAATAATGGTGTCTGTGGATTGGGAGAGGGGAACAGATGGTGCAGGGAAAGAAGAGGAAGTCCCAAGGGGAGAGATTAAGAGGTTGAGAGGTGTGCAATAGTTTTGTTAGATTTTCCCCACTCATGGGATGCAGGCATCACTGGCTAATCTCGCATTTATTGCCCATCCCTAATTACCCAGAGGGCAGTTAAGAGTTAACCAAATTGCTGTTGGTCTGGAGTCACATGTAAGACAGACCAGGTAAGGACAAGTTTCTTTTCCTAAAGGGCATTAGTGAACCAAATGATTTATTTATGCCAGTCAACAATGGTTTCGTAGTCATCATTAGACTTCTAATTTTAAATTTTTATTGAACTCAAATTCCACCATCTGCCAGTGAGACCGGAACAATATCTGGGTCTTTGGATTACAAGTCTAGTGATAATACCACTAGGTCCATTGCCTCCCGTAATTGTGCAGTGTGCATTGAGTAGGAGAGGAGAAGCACTGTTAATTTCACAGGATGACTTTAGAAACAGTGTGTGGATAGTACCAAGTTCTCAAGTGGGAGGCCTCACTGGCCTTATGCTTCACTGTGAGGAGTGGGGATGGCCTGTGTGTTTTTGGGGAAGGGCAATGGGTTTTGCATTTTTATGGAGGGAGAGATGGAGATTGGATGGTGTTTTGTTTAGTGCAGACCTGATGGCCATATGACCACCTCCTGTCCTGTAACAATGCTATGTATTCTTAACTTGGTTTTTGTTCAGAGGCAACTCCCAAACGAGGCAAATAGCGAAATAAAATTCTGGAAAATTAAGCAGGACGTTAACCAGTTTAAAACTCCACAAATAATATTTCTGATTCCAAAACTTTAAAATTCTGTCAGGAATATTGCTCTGAGTTTGCTGGAATGCTCCTTTGACTCAGTTACTTATTCAGCAGTTGAGGAAAGGGCTCAGTCTGAGAAAAGTGTGATGGCTGTTATAGCAAGTCAGGATGTTGTGTTAGTGAAGTCATTGAGCTTCCTCTCAGTCTTTGAGGGGTGCCTATTCCCACATTCTTTCATCTTGAGGAGAGGCTGTGTTCCAGTCCCTTGCCTCAGCGAGGCAGGAATAGTCTGTGCTGCCAGAAACTGTCTCTGTGAGGAGGAGTTAGAGATGGGGAACATTCTCTCACTCCATAGGGAGTGAGTATTTTTAGAAATTTTCGTTCATTCTGCACTATTTCCAGACCACATCAGGGGATTGCTGGGGAAGAGGAATGTTCAGTAACAGATTGAATTAATAAAAAGGACATAAAATAAATTTCTTTGTGTCCTCTCTATTTGAAGTACAGGCTGAGCCAGCAGCACTGCAGTCAAAATTAGAGCAAGCAGTTACAAACAACAGTCTCCACTGGCCTTCTCTTTCTCCCTGTGCCCCACATCTCTCCTTCCTCCCCTCCCCTTCTCCCCTATCTCATTTCATGTGTGCACCATGCACACTTCCCTCTCCCCCCACCTCCCTCTCTCTCTCTGCCAAATTTCTGGCAGTGACTGTATAGAATGCCTCCTATTAGATTTACAGTCTGTCTCCCAGCAGAATAAAAAATGCTGTCTCTGTGGATTTCAGTTTAGTCTCGAACTCAGCAATGGAATTGAAAATATTAACACATCTGTTAGACTTGAAAAATCTTGAGTGATTAGCTTATGGAGAGTGCCCCTGTGTCAGGCTGGGGCTCTTTGCAAGTTTTATTAGTGAATAAGGAGGAGTAGCGGGTGAGAGTGCAGCCATTTTGTAAGGACTGTGTTTCATTACTGTTCTTTATTTTGGATTTGTGGACTGAAATAGGCAAAGAGCTGTTTTAAAAACAATGGATTGTTGGGGGATTGCTGCACTTTTTGAAAACCATATTAAGTGATGTTTACACAACTGCTCTGTTCAAGCTGTAGTGGGAATTTTACACATGAGCGGAAGCCAAGTGTTGAGTGCAAATCATTTTTCAGCTGGCAACAAATAGTTGATTGGTCTGTGGATTAATGACCAGTTATTGATGACAAAGGATATTTGATTGGTGCACAAGTTAGCTGAATGAAGAAACATAGAAAATAGGAGCAGGAGTAGGCCATTTGGCCTTTCAAACCTGTTCCACCATTTCATATGATCATGGCTGAACATCCAATTCCGTATCTGGTTCCCACTTTCTCCATATCCCCTTTGATCCCTTCAGCACTAAGAACGATATCTAAATCTTTCTTGAAAACATTTAATGCTTTGGCCTCAACCACCTCTGTGGCAGAGAATTCCACAAGCTTACCACACTCAGTTTTCTGTCATAAAAGGATATTGGTGAACTGGCTGGCCTTTTATGATAATTGACAACAGTTTCAGTGCGCAACCCCTGTAAGGCATAGCAGTTTATAAATAGGAAGCTACATGTGATGGGAATGAACACTCATATCACAAACTTTCTACACCAGGCCTTCAATGAGTTTGCTGATCAAAATCAAAATTTAACTTATTGTTTTGTGCCAATTGGGAGCTGTACTCCGACTGCTCAACAGAGTGATTTTTGATGCCAGCAGAAGTAGGTTTGATTTCTGAATGAATGGCTGGTGTTGACTTCTGTAATGCCTGGTCTGTACTACTGTAATGTAGTAATTTATGTCTATCTTCATCAACATCTCTTTATATATTTCTGTATCATCCTATCTTTCTGCAAATTATGACTTCAGAATTTCACAAAGCTACATCAGCTGTGAGGACAGATGACCAAAATTTTGGCCAAATGGGGAGATATTAAGGAGTATCTTAAAGGTGGAGACAAAAACAGAGAAGTTTAGAGAAGGAATTCTAGTGCCCAAGCAGCTGAAGAAATGGCTAACAACTGTGGAGCTATTTGAACCACAGATGCTCCATCCAAAGTTGGAGTTGGATGGAGAATGTGGAGGGTTGTGGGGCTGAAGGAAGCTGCCACTCTCCAAGTCCTTTGCTCTATCGAATTCAAATTCTACCACCTGCCATGATGAGATTTGTACCTAGGTCTCTGATTTAATAGTCTAGCAGTAATACCACTAGACCATTGCCTCCCCATAATAAGTTTCCGCTCAGTCACCTATGAGTAGCCTAGCCAGCACAGCTTCCAATCAGCAGTGTGAGAACATGGGAGTCCACACTGAGGGTGACCATCTAGCTCCAACACAGGAGGTCAGATTGTCGGCCCAGCTTTCAGGAGTTGGTGCTCTGAGGATATCAGACAACGTAAAACAGATAAAGAGTTCGCTTGATGCCAAACACAGTTCCTTCCTGATTAGTCTTTCATTACTGGTGTGAAAAGTCCCTTTCTTCTGACAATTTCCAAAGTGAGCCTCCTGAAAGCTGGGCTGACAGTCTGACCTGTCTATGCTGGGGTTGCATAGTTACCTTGGTGTGGACACTGCTGTGTTTTCACACTGCTGATTGGAAGCTGTGCTGGCTGCCTACAGGTAACTGAGGGGAAACTTATGAAGGGGAGGCAATGGCCTTGTGGCATTATTGCAAAACTATCAATCTAGAGACCTGGGTAATGTTCTGGACACCTGGGTTCAAATCCTGCCATGGTAGATGGTGGAATTTCAATTCAATAAAAATCAGTAATTAAGACTCTAATGATAACCATAAACCTGTTGCAGGCCAAGCAGCATCAGAGGAGCAGGAAAGCTGCGTTCTATAGTCTGGTTTTAAGTCCTGACATGTTAGAAAGACTATGGGCAGACATTGAGCCAGGGCCATGGCCAACTGTGCTCCTATCCCATTAACTGAGTGGGATGCTGTGTGCCTAACTTTGAATCTGAGACTATTGCTGTTAATTGTGGGCTTGGTTCTCTGATTGTCCCGTTTGCTGTATGCTTCATTCTCTTCACATTGTTGATTATTGGCACTTAGGGGATGGGCTATGGTTAATACTGGTTAATTATAAGCTAGGCATTGCTTCCATTTGAAGAATGGTAAACCTCAAATTTAAAGCTGCACCTTAAAATAGGACTCACTAAACCCCTGTACTCTGGGGAGGGGAAAGGACCAAATAAATATACATTCCTTAGGGAAGAAGACATTTGAAGGAACTATCCATATCCTTGAGAATGTGGTGAATGTTTGAGGAGTTTGGTAGTTTCGGGAGAGACAGTAATGATTCTGATTGCCTCAGGTTTTGGACAATTTGAGGACAGGGGTTAGTGAAAGAGAATTAGGGTGAGGACAAAACTTGTATTGGTGAGGGAAGACTTGGGAGAAGGGTCTGGGCAAGTGCAGAAAAGTGATGGAGGAATAGGAGTGGGGCTTAATGATGCTCCTTCCTATTAGGGACAGGGTAGCTTTAGGGTGCTGAACTGTGTTGAATGTGGCCTGGTGGTAGGATAGGAAGTTCTGCAGTAAGAAAGAATGAAGATAGATGAATCCTATGGGTACGCTGAAATAAGTTACCAGAGGAGGTTGTTGCAGATACTAGCAATGGATTACAGAGAAAATTGACAGTTTATCAAAGATTAGGATTGAGGGGAGGTGGTGAGGAAGAGGTGTTACCTGTTGTTTATGCTAATTGCCTTTTTTTTTAAAAAGTTAGTTGCTTTCTGTTGCACGTTGCACACTCACCAGTGCAATATTTTTGCATGATTCATTTATCCTTGATGGGAATTGTATATCATGGCGACATGGTGCTGTGGATGTGGGTCTCCAGGGGCCTGAGGAATGTGTAACCTGAGGGTATGATCTTCCCGTTATGCTCCCTTAATGTGCTTCCCCTTTCCAAAAGTAATATGACCGTGTGCTGTATCTCAGGGTAAGACAACATTGCCACAGCCTCTGGCTTATTTTCCAAGGGAACATTTCAAGATGCTCACTGTAATGTGAGACGCAACTTTTCAGTGCGTTGGTGTAGGGAGGA